AGCAGTCTTCCCCCATGATTGTGTAGCCTACTGACCCAGACTGAGAGACCATTTAAAGGCTCAGGAAACCTTTGCAGATGTTTTGAAGTAATTAGCTGATTAGGGTGTGACACCATGACTTTCCAATATTGAACTTTTTCACAATATTCTAATTTTCTGAGACACTGAATTTTGGGTTTTCATTATCTGTCATAAGCCATATATATATATATAAGCCATAATCATCAAAGCTTCAAGAAATAAAGGCTTGAAATATTTCACTCTATGTGTAATGAATCTATATAATATGGGTTTCACTTTCTGAAATGAGTGACACAAAATATTGACCTTTTTCATGATATTCTAATTTTTTTTAGATGTACCTGTATATAATATCCCACTAAATAACACTACCCCAATTAAGCTTCTTCAATAAGATTCTGTTTCATATTGTTTCCCATTTTGCAATGCACTAACACTTTCTAACACTTCAATCTGATTTGGGTGGGGGTCTTATGAACATTTTTAAGAGATTATTTTATCCAAATTTTAATTTAATGGGGGTGGGGGGGGAGGGGGTCTATAATAAACAGCCATGTCAATTTTATAGGGATGGGAAGATAAATCGATTCATGGATCGATTCTGCGACTTTTTGAATGCATCGTGATTCTTTCTGGAATCAATTCTGAGCTTAGTTTTAAAGTAATACTTCAAATGTATCGTCCCACCCCTATAATTTTAATGTGAATATTATTGGATATTCCAGTAAATTCAATTAAATGAGCTTCATCTTATTTACTTTTCTCTTTTCAGTAGGAACTTGTTGGATACACATCAAAAGATACGATTATTCATAAAGAATTACATTGGACATAACAAACAGAGGCAACAAACAGAGGCAAACTAGTATCATAAAACAGAAAATTCAGAATAAATTCTGACTGAACGAACTAGTGCGGTGTTCGATACATCAATACGACAATGTATCATCAGAGATTTGACGATACGAGTATCTATAAAGCTGGCCCTGTATCGATATCGCAGCACGTGTGCAGCAGTAGACCGCGCTTAATTTGAATACAAGAACACCGTTTAAAATGGAGTAGAAAAGTGTGAGGTTTCTAAAAAAGAATGAATAGAGCATAATATATAGGCTACAACGCTCAATGTGAAAGCCCTCAGGTGACTGAGATTTACCGCTGATTACAGAACCGTCTTTACTGACAAGATGCGCATTAAATATCGCATGCGATTTATCGTGCAGCCGTACCTGATATAAAGAGATGCAATCCCTGATACATAGCTTCCCACTTGCGCAATACAGAAATATCTGCCAAGTGTGCTACTTATCAATGTCAACCTGGCAACCATGAGCACGCGCTCTCTCTCCACTGTGGATAAACGCGCTTGCTTTCTGAAAACACTGGTAAGCTTGCAGTTTAGCGAGCTCCACTTCAAAATTCTATTCTCAGAAAAGTGTAATTCATCAAGTTAGGGCTGCACAATTAATCGAATTTCTAATCGCGATTACAATTACAGATGCCACAATTACATAATCGTTCAAAGCAGCAATTAATCGTTCAAAGTCCACTTATGTTATT